TATCGCTGTCACTACTAAGATTCTGATGACTACTATTTCCATTGCTAGTCATAGCATCCGAAAGAGAACGAAGTTTACGCTTCTTAATAATAGTAGCATCATGTTGTTTCTTATGCTTCTTAGCTTGGGTAGCAGTATGTGAGCGTAACGTACGATCATTTCGACGATGATGAGTGTCTTTCAACTTCCATCGATCACTATTACTCGCAGGAGTATCATCAATGCTATTATCATTAGTAGCCGCAGCTGTACAAGCATGTCGTTCTAACAAAAATAATTATAATAATTACAATTACCTTCTGTTTTATAGGTTCTTGGAGCAAAAAACTGCAAACGAACAACCAAGACAAGCACGAGTCCAAAATGGCCGAAAATAATAAGTCAAACAAGTTCATAAGTTAAGTAAAACAAATTTACCCAAAAACACAGTGAAATTATTGATCTTTAAATAAAGTAGTTGATCAGCAAAATGTCTTCATTTCTCCCGTAACACTCCCGACCAAAAGAACCTTGGTTCTTCTCACCGACAAAATAGATAACAACAATCCGAGTATGTGCATCACAAGCAATCAACAACCAACATGCAATATGTCAACAATCTCGTGATCCCTAGGACTTACACTAATAAGGTTCATAAGTTAAGTTAAACAAATATAGCGAATATACACAGTGAAATTATTGATCCCTATATAAAGTATTTGAATTTCAAGATGTATTCATTTTTCCCGTAACAATACCAAAATCACTTTTTTTCATTTCAAATAGTCATGACGCGCATCTGAGCAGTCTAGACAGTTATTACTTAATCCGAACCTCGGTTTCGATCGTACACTAGCGACATATTGAAAACGACCGTGATTATAAGATTTCAATGTGCAAATATCAGCCGTTGCTCTGACTACGTTCGTCGCTAAATTCAAAGCGTATGCTGATGAGCTGAGAGAATATCATACTTTGATTGGTCGACAGACATATCCTTCAAGCTCTAATCAGCGCGAAATGAGGATGATCGATATGGCCATTTGAGACACTTGCACATTGTGAACGTCCAGCGATGCTGCCTTCTATTTCTGGAAGGACGAGTTCAATAAATTGATCATGAAAATGTGTTGTGCCTTCATTTTTATGAGGGAAACGCGATCCGTTTCATAGAAACATTCAATTTTAAAGCCAATTGTACAAGCGATTGTTTCACTCAACCTGTATATCAGTACACGGTATACGAAAACCTTTCGTTGCACTTGTTTACATTCTGATTTATGCGGCTCTCAGTACCTTGCTCCACTTTCCTGGCACGATTTCGGTATTCCTTCGATAACAGGAAAATGCTAGAACTACATTCTCTTTCACGGATTACGTTTTCTTCTCTGTCCTCGATTCAAGTAGACAAATTTAGCGACGAATACGTCATTTGCTTCTGGTCATTGTCCAAGTCAGCCTGAGCTGGTTCCGCTAAAATACGTCGAACTCCACTAGACAGAATGGATCATTGACTCTGGTGGCATGACTTAGAAATGGAGAAGCTAACATGTCAATCATATTATTAGGAAGACAGCGACTGACTTGATTCAGTCAGCTCTCCCGTGAACTCTATGATCATGCTCTCGAGTCATTAGGTTCATCACAACACAGATTTATTTTCGGCTAACTCGAGATCGGACTGATTGGATGCGTTCCTGATATCTCTTGCCGATTTTCGACCAAAGTTTTGGCATGGATTAGAAATTCGGTTACTGAAAGTGTTTGTAAAATTATCAATTTTCACATCCGTACACGGTGTTCTTCACTGCATTCACAGTGATGTTTATGGCACAACCATTGCTGATTGTCTAACTTTACAAGCAATATGCACACTTTGTAAATAAGAAATAATTAGCAAGTTTCTTGATCACAGAGAAATGTAATACTTCTCTGCTTACTATGATTGAAGGTTGCGAACTTTTAGTCAACTTCACGTTTTAGTGACCTTCATACGTGGCGTATTGTTTGCCAAACATTCCAGTCCATTTATGCGTGTTGAAATTGTGAACTCATGCTCTATCACAACATATGCAACGTGATTTTCATTGTAAACGTGGCTGTTTCGATTATCATATGCTATGAGACTACTTGAAATAGTGAGAATCCACGTATTCACAACTACTATTAGAATGCCTAGATTTACTTGACTAATTGTTTCTTCATCATATAATGTAGTCATTTAATACTTTATTGTGAAACTAATGTGACTCATTCAACTTGAATTTCGAGTTTTCCTACTTTTTACAAAAATGCTCATTTAATTATCTTCTTTTTACTTTTTTATATTGATTTTATTGAAACTATTTTTTTTTGATGACTTCAATTTTTATTCCGTGTTTCTGAAATTATTTCTATGATTTTTTTCTGTCTCTTTATTTACGTCTTCACTGTTTCTTTTTCATTCTTCGATATTTCGGCAAGCATCAATTTTTTCACACATATAATGTGGTGGGCAATAATAATAATGACATGTAGTCACTAATTTGTAATATACATAACCTTGCATTCGTGCATCACTGCTCAATTTCGTGATGCATCAGTTAAGATATTTTACCCCAGACTGGTTTAGGTAGCAGAAATTATACTCTTCTTAGTAACGACTGTAGAAATCTTATACTGGTATGTCGACTGAGAATAATTACATATGAAAAACCGGTTATGTGCAAACAGGAAGCTTGAAAGTACGGAAAATGCGAAGACAGGATCTATTCATATGCATGTGAAATGGTTTTCAGGCATGTTATTCAAAGGCTCAAACAATCAATTCCGAATATAACGTTGATTTAAACTCAATATTCAGCATTGATTGCATCAGCCTGATCCAGTCACTAATGACTTTTGGATCTGCTCCACGTTGTGATCATGGTTTCCGCTACCTTTCTTAGTTGGTTGTGCACATTTTCCTTGATCAATGCACATTCATTAGTCCATCATAGTTTTTCAGCCACCTACTGGTAGGGTGTATGTTAGACAAATGTTTATTAATACACGATAAGTGAATACACGAAAAATGCTCGGATGCATTTTGGCAGACATATTAATCGATAGTCTGGAAATGGCTCACTTTTCTCAGTGCGAAAGTAGTTGTGGTCAAGTGTACCTGACAAAATAATAAATTGCTAATTGACGACGGTTTATTGAATAAAATGTAAAGTGTCCTATAAGATCGAGTAACATGTACACGATGTTTGATCATATGTTATAATATCTTGACGTATCTTTTAACAGCGATCCTAAAGTAAGCGATTAAAACAGTTCGTTCATATTTATCTCTTGATCACATCACATCATTGATTTGTAGTTTCATAGTGAAGAGACACTATAATCAGCTTAAAATACTGCTTCGTTGAATCATATCGCCTACTTAATCTTTCCATTCATATGTAAATACGGAGAGCTGGAAAAGGTGCATTTTGTAGTATTTTATTCCTGGGAAGATTAAAGGGATGTCCTTACTTAGCACTACCACGATTCCTAAAAATGAAAATATATTCACAATCTTATTCTTGAGCGAAAATTAAATTTCTCTTCTACTTCGTTTTGATATAATAATTTTCTCCTTTCTGCGTTTGCCAGTTGAAGCTAAATTTTCTTTTGTTGCAGCCATTGGCGTTTGATCTCTGACTTGTGTTTTTTGTGTGCGTGTGTGCATTAACACGTGTATCTGACCTAGGCTTTCGTGCAGACTGACTCTGTTCTGGTATAAATAGAGCACACATCAACCTTCATTCATTCACTACGCATTATCCGTGTGTGGACCTGCCATCCAGTTACACGTAAGTATTTCAACCTGAATAATACTGAATAAAAGTTTTTATCACAGCTTAGCATTTAAATGTTGGTTATAATATTCAGGATATTTATCGCCCTAATGATGCATTTGACGTATTAGATAGAACCGTTCTATCGAAAAGAACAAGATCTGAATGCGATGCCAATTTTACTCTATGCATTTTTACCCTTCAGAATAACAAAAGTATTCGACATCGATGCCAAGTTAACTTCTACCAAGCAATATCGCTCCTACTTATCAGCTGAAGACATCTTTATTGTTTACTTCAAATAGATTAAAAACGTGTACAAGGATAATAATTACTGTTTGATCTGCTGTTATAATATGTTGTTATTATTTTCATATTAGGATTCGTAGATGTGAAATAACTGTGGCTATAGATTTGTAGCTGCCACGGCGGTAACACTAATTGTAGCTATCCATGAACAACGACTGTAACAGTTGGTATAATTTAGCAAATGGTCACTTTATTTGCAGTCAGTTGTGTTTAAGAAAAGTAAAATGCTGCTACTTTTTGAAGTAATACGTTTATTTTCATAAGGAGATATTTTCTGAACTATCATCTTCATCGATTAGATTTAAATATAAAAAAGACTCAAACAGAATACATATCGAATTTCATGTTGACATTTAATGGTAAACATGCATAGTAGGAAAGGAAATATCACTTTGCATTCAGTTAATTTCGTAGGCCGCAATTATATTATATTTACCAAATGAGTTTCGATCATTATCTAACTTAGCGGACAAATTTACACAATGATGCTTGTTCGTTCATTTAGAATCAAGCCACTCTATACGGTTGTCAGTTTTAACTGATGTCTTCATTCAGCCACTTTGAGCGTTGAACCAATTGATAGCACATTATTGACATCACTGAACGATGATAACAAAAGTCTTTACTTACACGTACACGAAAGTCTTCAATTCTTTTCAATAATCGATCCTGGTAATTGAGTTAAGATTCATGATACAAAATGAAGTAAAAACACTTGATTCACAATGATATTGACCTTTCATTCAGCTGATTCTGATGTCCTGTTTGCAGGAAACTAAAATTTATTTTTTACTATATTGAATGAACATATAACCTTTTCTGTTGAATATTATCTATTGTGATCATTTATTTTTAGAGAACAGCGAAATCAACAAAACAATGAGAATTCTGGTGTTCCTTTTATTGACCATGCAGTTTAAGTTAATCAGGCTACAAAATGATCCAATCGAAATCCCTAGTGAGAATACTGACCAAACAAGTGATATTTTAACTGATAGCGAGAACTTAGAATCCGATGAAATGCCGCCAACATGTAAGAAACTGAACTAACATACTTTGTTTTTTAATGAGGATTTATTACGATCCTTCTGTCTGTTTCATATAAAGTTATCAATATTCATTCATAAGCATTATAGAGTGCCTATATTTATATATTGCATTCGAATATTTTGTACGGGAAACAGTATGATGATGCGTATAACAAGTGTCACGCACGTAAAACATTTTCGACATACAAAGTTAGTTTCAGTGAATCTATCACAAACATCTTATCTTGTGTGTGCGTGTACGTATGTTGGATACTTCATGACCATTTACATAAATAAGTGAAAGTTAATCTAGTCTGTTGATGTCAAAGTGCAAAGTTTAGGGACTCTTTCATTCCGTTCACTCACTCAATGTTGAAGATTTTCCTGTGTCTTACAATCAAGAGTATGTTTTGTCGGTTTTGTACATTTTCAGATAATTTTTATCAGATCTATTGATATACAATCATTACTTCCAGTAGTTGTGTAGTTATTCTCACCCTAAGACACTGGAGAAGATATTGTATCAGTCATTCGGAACTATTCAATAAGTAAATGGTGTAATTATTTTATAAAGTTAGTCAATCGAATGATATGATTTTCTCACAAAACAATACTTTTATAAAGAATATTTTATTATTTTAGTAAGACATTTAGTAGAATGAATTGGTTGGTATATGAATTTATTAATGAGTTAGCCGAATATATATATATATATATATATATATATATATATATACTTGTAATATATATATATAATATAGGTTCACAGAAATTATTGAATAAATAACTACGAGGAAATGTATTCTCATTTATTATGTTTCATTTTAAGTATTTATTTAACTTTCGTTTTTAGTTATTCGAAGAATTCACATAACATTCAAAACTGAACCATTGTATGCAATAGTTTACGGTTCAACTGGTATTAAACAATTAAATGTTTTGCATGCATATTGTCCAGTTGTAAGTTATCGTTTTATCATATGCTTTCTTGTTCAAACGATAATTTCCAATAAATGATTTTACTACACTACTGCTTACATTAGAAGGATTTCATTAAATTTCGCTGATAAATAGAATCAAGTTTAGATCAACATTTTATTGTCATTTTATTACATTGTCTCAAACGTCATCGCCTATTTGAGGAGAGTAATGAACGTCATATTTTTTATTCCAAGCTGATTAGGCGAGACAAGTAAGATCTATAGCAAAATTCAGTCGCTATAGTGTATAAGTTAGGAGGGAGAGGAATATTAGGAAACCGGTGAGTTAACTTGCCTCGGTTAATTTAACTACAGCTGAGTTTATTTGACTATTTTATTCAGATTCATTATTCCTGTTCGATTGTTTCGAAAGCACTGACAATCCCTGAAATCGATAACTAGCAAAACACTGGAAGAACTACTTTTCCTATTGACATACCATTTTAATATCGATAAACTTAATTTGAGCAAATTTTAAATGCGAACACTTTGTGCATTTATTTCATTGTATCTAGGCTATGAAATTGTTGATGGACAGTACACTGAAGTCACTTAAGGTGTCATGCGACGCCTTTCTGAGTCATCAGTACGAAGGAGTAGAACATAACATTTTAACCGTTACCTTGATTGTATCACCTGGGCAATTGGAATCAGATCTTTCAACAACCGTGTTAAGGGAGGAGTTCAACGAATTGCTCAATATAAATAAAAGAAACGCAATAACCGACAGCGATTACCGTGAGTAAGACGTAAAAAAATTTATTTTAGAGATGATTATTGTCATAACCAATTTATATTTCTGTGAACTTTCAGCGTTTGTTTTCGCACATGCACATCCTGCGTGAGCTATTTCAATACGCGGTCAAATCCGAGTCATCGTTAGCTTAGAATTAGGGAGACTTGAATTTAAAGTGATCAAAGCCATTTTAATGCAATCACGAACATGTCAGCTGTATGTTTCATGGCGAAAATTTTCCTAGATGCCTCTTACTGACTAGCAACGAATTGAATGAATTAGGACTTATGATAATCATTACCAGGAATTGCCAATCCAAGGTATTAACGAGTTGTTCATATAAACTATGTAAATAAGTAAGAATCGTTCACTTATAGCTGTGGTTGACAAGTAATGTTCAAATGGCAATCAGATGATAGGTTAACCTTTTGCTTAAATATTCTCGTTTACCTACAAAAACATTTTTTTTTTCGAGACACAATTCGATCATTTTTATAGTGAAAATCTCAGTGTGTTTTGACGTCCGGAAACAGGAACTATTTATGCTTTCAAGAATAAACCATAGCGTCTCTGAAGTCAAAATCATACTGATATGATAAAATTATTATTTTCAAAACAGAGCTAGAAACATATTATATATATATAGGATGAGAATGTTTGAATCATGAAAATTAAGAAGAGGATCACTCAGAGCAAATCTATTGCAAGACAAAAAGTAGAATGATATGCAGACTGTGCGATTATCGCCTATGTTTGATACCGGCAAAGAATAAAAGGGGGAAAAAGTAAAGTGGATGGACAGTAGCAAACAACCTTTTCAGAATAATAAAGGTATTTTATTTCGACAAACCAAGTTTTAATTAGACTGTCCGTCGAAAAACTATGTGCACATCTTTCCTTTTGAATCCTTCAGACTGATCTGATGAGCAGAAACCTATAAGGATCACATAAAATTCACATCAGTCACACTCCGGTATACTTGATTATCAGTCAATCGAAATGGCGCATTTGTGTTGATCATTCGACCCACAGTGAAGTTGAAAGCCCACAGAAGACTGTCACCCTGTCTTCATAGAGTGACACTTAAGATTTCTGAGCATGCCGTAAGTGTTTTAGTGAAGATATCGAAAACTAACTAGAATATAGAATCTCGGATCAGATTCATTTGACTGATATCAATTACTCCTTTCACAGTTCACAATAAATGACGTGTCGCATTGCAACAATCACATCAGAACTACTTTAGATAGTGAAATATATACAATGTGAGATCTGAACAATCAAAACCGGTCTCAGTTTTTGAGTTGTCGGCAAAAACCACACATTTGAACTTAATCAGGTCCAAAGATACAGACACATATTTCGGCGTCCGACGATATTTATGATCTTGTACCTAGGTATGGTATTCGAATCTGTCGTTTATGGGGCTCTGTGACAGCGACTGTCACTAAAAAAGTAATCACGTCGTACATTAAACATCAATATGCTTGTCGAAAACTCGTTATAATGAGAGCATTAGCAGTTCTGATATTGGAGTCGGATACTGCAAGTCCTGATTTCTAGAGTTTTTCTCCTACTTCATTTCGATTTACCTTGTCACTGAAGTGCTTTCGGAAACGACAATTTCATCGCCGGAAGTTTCAAGACTTGAACTGCTGCAGCGAAATCTGAATGCTTGAATCGAATGTGCAGATGAAAATGTTTTATATTGTTGTTGCTGACTGAGTGCTTTTTGTTCACCAATATGGGGATAAACCATTCACTCCAGTTCGTCCAGAATTCTTATTACAGTTAACTGGTTATCGTTTCATCATTTTTATAAACAACAACGTTTCTGTTACACTGAAATTAAAATAATATCACGAATATATTTTATACAGTAAGTGAACTTGGAAGACGTAAGTCAAATTTCTAAACAAATTTGATGACAGGATTAAAGTTAATTATTATACAGATACCCATACTGTTTTGCATAATGTTTCGATCCTTTGCTGTCCAGTATTTCATGCAAATGTTTTACGCGTGCTTGAAGAAATAATTTTGATGTTGTAATCTTGATTGGTGGTGTTGACATTCGAGAGTATAAATTAGGTCATATGAAGGCAACTGTGCACTTCAGATGCATAGAATCTCAAATTACGTGATTGTCTACCAAAATTACCTAATTTTCCTGGTGATGTGCTCGATGACCGTCAGCTCACATCTTCTCTACAGGATGCCTTGACTGTCGTTGAGTGTAGGATTAGTTAGCTACGCAGTTTTTCGGCTCTCCTAGATGCGTATCTATCGTGTGCTTGTCAACGTCGTTTTATCTGGGTGCCTGTAGACTACACTTTCCACTCCTTATCAAGACTTCATGAACTGGTGAGCCTAGTTGGGTACAAAAGGATTAGACTGGACTGTCGAGTCACTTTACCATAGCTTTGAAACCGTTTACCGACTAGCCTGAATGCGTATTAGCAATCAAGCTCATCAACTGATAAGCGATTGCATACATCATTGAAACTGCTGCTGCAAGATGCAGGATGCTGTGTTTGATAACTACAAGTTGCGGGAGTCGTGGATAACATACCGGGACTTATCAGTCCTCTGGTTCTTCCAGAGTTCTGAAAACGGTCACCAGTCATCGATCCACGACTTCAGTATTAAAGAACGACACATTTTTATGATTATCAAAGTTAATATTGGATGTTATATTTTCTTAGGTGTTTTTTCGATAAAACGTAAGTTCACCAATCTAACGTTTCTAGTCTAACTTTGTCTGTGCTCAGTTATTTACTATTTTTATTCTAACTGAGGCACGAATAACCCAACACAACGACAAACCGATCGGCTAAATATCGGGGATTCTCATTGCGCCTACTGTTCAGCACATCATCACACTATTAAACTGCTCGACGTGAACTCGGAAACATGTACTCCAACACGTTTTTTTGAATGCAAAACTCCGATTTAGACTTCCCTTCTTTTATTACTTGAACGAGTTCTGTAGATTGAGAATTCTGAGTGACTTTACGGCTTCGTTTATATTAGGTTTCGTGTCCGTATAGAAGGCCTGATCTCTTACCGCACTCTGGCTATTATACAGCGGGTCATAACAGCTTACGCCAGCATGCGTTGCTTACCGAGTCAAATAGATATGTTATCGGAAAATGCATTTCGTGGAACATGTATTTTCCATGTTGAAAACATATCACAATGACGCAGATGGATCCAAACTTTGCGTTCTTTGAAATTCTAACCTTTCAAGTTCCTCGTGACTTTCATATTCTTTTTAAATTTAATACACTGGATCTTAGTCTTTGCAAAAGAACCTAAAGCATGATATCTGCTACCTGTGCTCTCAGTTTGAATACTTCTATCACAATAGAATTTGAACTGACTATTGTATATCCGCGCTATTCGGGCGAGGTTAATTGAACTTCAGAACATACGGGCTAGGTTCCACGTTGCATCCGACTAAACAATAAATCTGTAACGCAAACCGAGCAATGTTCAAACTGGTCATTTGTATAGTGAGGACATTTTTGGAGTTCCCATCGGAGAAAGTGCCTGGGAGAGCATTATCCGGTCGGTTGTATACAGTCACTCGCGAAAACAATGAGCAGGGTTCTGCAAAAGTTGGATTGGTCATAATCAGATATTAGTACTGTTGGAAGACGTCAATGTGGTAGAAAGGTGGTGTGAATTTTTGAGGTTCCAGTCGGTTGTATACTGTCAATCTCGAAAACAGTGAGCAGGTACTTCAGAGGATGTTCAAATTATGACATTATTACTGTTAAACGACGGCACACTGGTACAAATGTCATCGTTCGCAGTCAAAATGCAACTTCCTGCAATCGATAACTTCGGGTTGAGGCAGTCGTAGATAACAACCACCAATCCATCTCCACTTAAGTGTAAATAATGCATTCTATTTTTTATTAGGTGTTCAATCTGTAGATCGTAAGTTCACCGTCCTCACTTTTCCTGTCTAACTTTGGCTGCTAGGATTTAGTTAACATTTCCTTTGCGAGAATAGCCAGAATCTGTTGATTGGACAAACACATATATTCTCTCTGCATTATATTACAAATAATTTTTGTTCGGTTTGTATTACAAATGATGATCCAGTGTTTGTGAAACTTTTTATAAATATAGTAAGAAAGGAAAAGAAAGTTTTTAATATGCTGTCTAATTTATCGCCTTATTCAGGCCGGTCATTAAGCATCGTTTTATAACAACACGTTATTAGTCTCTACTGACAATGGTTCTCAAATAGAACCTATTGGGTTTCTTATCAATGACTTTTTGTAATATCTCCACATGCTGCTAACCTGGTAGTTCCTAAATTCACCTGAGTACATGAAATTGAGTACATGAAATTGAATATTTTTGTTTCTTCAACTTGATGTATAACATTTGTCATCATTCAGTTGGCTGTCTTTCTACGGAATGCGATTTCCTCAATGTTTCCGTTTATTTATTTGACTGATCAGTTAACGATTCTGTATAGGTTTCTTGAGAACTTGCTGATTTACTTATTTGTAGTTATTTCATTGAAGATATTGCCTTCATATTGTGTAAATATTTTCAAATTTTTGTGTTTCAGTAGATAAAATTCAACCACCGGGTAAGTTCCTTGTTGGATGAATATTCTTTTCGAAATAAACAATAATTAGAATAATTTTTTTCATCCACTGATTATATGTTATTGTTTTAATGATAAAAGTAAACACTTGTTACCTAATGTGTGCTCAATTTTCTGAGGTCTTATTACACAATACATAGCAGTCAGCTTTTTTTAAGTTTAAAATATATTCGAGAAAGTCTGAACCTGTTGGTAGTTTTTACGTATTTGTTTCCTTAGTTCGTATTTTCTAAGAAAATAACTTGACTGCATTTATTCGAGCAATCGTGGAAAAATCAACGCGTTTGTTTCAAAAGGCAATAATCGTCAATGAAGGCACTTTGACGAATATTATAATAATTATTATTATAAATCTGCCAGACGCATAGTAGATGGTTCCGTGTGAAACTGCTTACGAAGTGAGTAGTATGTATTCAGATCACAAAAAAGCAGTCAGATTCACTGGTCTCAGAAAAGAGCATTTTGTTCAAAAGGTATTTCAATAAGATCTCATAGATGTCATTTAATTATAAAAATTTTGTCTTTTTTTTGAGGTATTTTGTTATTGTTTTCAGAGTACTATGTCATAGAAATACCTTTTTCTCCAAACGCGAGTGATATTGACTTTTGTGGAAATGTAAGTCTGGACAATTCATTGTTATTTATTGTTCATTGAAGCCGTCACATTTGGCTTCAAAACATTGAATAAAAATAATCATTCGCGGTCTCGTCAAAGGAGTAATGAAGTTCAAATAACATTGTTGTATTCTTGTGGCTATGAAAACTAACGATGTTTGTTGAAATTTTCACCGCGATGATACTACTTGATGAGGTTGATAAACGGTAAACGCTAAGTTGCCAGTAGTAATAGTAATGTCTACTCACTGATAATTTTATTTAGGATTGAAGATAATAGTAATCGTTTTTTTATATTGTTTAAATAAGCAAAGTTTATGTTCTCTCAATGTGATTGTGAATTTCAAACATCATTGTCCATCACTTACTCTATGTATTAGGTTGATAAAAGTTTTAGTAAAGATGGCTTTATTTGTTTCAAAACTGTAGATGGCTACAAAATTGTCGGCAAGACATCCAGGTTTCGAAGAAGCACTGTTGGCATGTGCAAAAAAATTGCCGGAACTGACAGTTGTGACAGAACTATCGACCGAAACACTACTAGAAAAGGGATACTTTAGCGATATTCACACGGCTACCGAACGCATCAGGATCGGTATGTACGACCAAATACCAAAGGAATGAAGAATTATTGATTGAACTGAACAATGAAATTTTCGGTAATTCGTCTTTTTCCTGTCTAAGTTATTCATATTACACTCAATATGTTGAAATATTTGATCAGCTTAAATATTTTCATTTCTCATTATTTCACTTGCGCTATTCACAGTCAAAATATTGTTATTTTCCGACTTCATTATACACTTGTAAATGTATGTTAGTAGTAGAGTCTTACTCACAGTTGCCAATATTTACGTAATGCAATCAATCATTCTTCGGATGGATGCTAATTTTCATGTTCAACATTTTGTTTACTAGTTGAATATTCATGAGGGTAATCAGTAGTGAAATAACCTGGTGATAGTGTTGACGTTCAATGATTCAAATGTCAAACATCTTTTGTGTACTGAGTTAGACCATCGACCAACATATGGTCATTGATTGGGCAACTATTTCACGTTTATAGCTACTTAAACAAGGAGATAAGAGAAAATCGAAGTTAAGAATTCAATTATCACAGAAATAGAAGTCATAACATAACATTCTTCAGAGTTATATTTTGCCTGCTTATCAGATACATTACATTATTCTACGTAATGATGTGTAGAAATTATCTTAATAATATTGTTTCGAATTTTAAATATATTATTCAAATTATTATTTGCAGCTGTTACAATGTAACCGTTCATTTCCAAACAATGCATCTACTGATCTTAATTCCATTCTCAAAAATTTTGTCATTTCAGAGTGAAAATTCGACAAGATTTGCGCCCGTCCGCAACAAATATATCAAATGATAATTTTCTTTTCGCTGATTTCTTTCTAATTGATTGATAAAACATAATTCTTTATCGCTTTTGTAATACTGACTGATGCACAATTTTGCCTACGCTGGCAATCGCACAATTTCTTTTACTAGATTCAACATTTTGCTTATCGTCTGAACAATCAAATATTTATTTTTGTTAATTACAACTCGTGAATTTTCAAATATCACTTGTTTATCTTTATTAGTTCATTTCTTCCATAGTTTTGAACGATTGATTTTTATTGATTATAATACGTATCAGAATAAAATTGTGTTTTGTACCGATTCGTTTTGTTTCATGTAATCATGTACGATTGCATTGTGTTATTGCGTAAAAATGCTTAAGTCAATTTCTTGTTATATAAAGATAAATAGAAATGGACCAATTATAAAGTTACGTTTGTTGACTGTCGAAGACTCAAAATCGTTCTGTATCCACATCTAGAATCATTACATGTGTGTTTAATAGGCAAGTGCATTCTCTTATTGCAACGTTCATTAGTTCTAGCTGCGCAGTCACACATTTTCATTCAATTGACAATTGTTTTATAGTAAGCTTATCACATCTCTTGGGTTTTATATAATGTTGTGCATGATGCTCGCTTACTATATTATAATAAGAAGCTTCATGTTAGATGTTTCGTATAGCACAATTAGGCTGGCAATTTGAACGATGGTGAAAGATGGTGAACGAGAGGAATTCGATTTCGGCTGAATCTACTGGATCGATTAATTCTTGGGGTGTCAAACGATCTGTTTCGAGAGTAAGTGAGTAGCGTATTACGCTAACGAGCACACTGAACAGTAGCCTGTTAGATAAATGACTCTAGCGGAATGTAGCAACGGAACGAAATGGAAAAATTAGGGGACACAGAATACAACTATTCAGACTTATCAAGTAAAAAACTCTCGGGGATGCAGGTGGTTCCGAGACTTTGTAAAATTGAACATTAGGTGAGCATTGGACTCCATGTGATTCTGTATCACTACCTTTGACTGTGAGAGTAGCAACGGTGTGCATCAACCTAACAGAATTTCTCTTATCGAACAACGCATGTCAAGTGAGTGTCTGTGAAGAAAGATTGTTGAAATAATCTGACATTTCAAGAGTGGAGTTCAAACACGGGATTCACTTGCTGGCTTATGAATGTGGCGACAAAAGAAATTCTCTGCCCGATATGTGAGTTATTTAGACACACAACTGACGATCATAATGGGACTAGTGAGACTGCAGAAAATAGTGATACTATACGTCCCTGACGAAGCAGCAGTTGAATATAGCTCAGATGAGGTGAAATATAAGTCCTACATAAATATTTCGGACGTCATTCGATACCTTGGGCGTCTGAAATGCTATTTCTGGCTGGTGAACATGTTGCGGTAGACTAAGCAGAAAGAGGAGTTAGTCGGATGTCGTAATTCAATGGGCGGAGAGTGGCTAACGTCCAATGCAGACATGATTATGTCAGCGACATTCAAAATAGCATCCTAATAAACATCAAACAACATGATAACAACCACAATAGTCTCTCATTATTTCACTTGCGCTATTCACAGTCAAAATATTGTTATTTTCCGACTTCATTATACACTTGTAAATGTATGTTAGTAGTAGAGTCTTACTCACAGTTGCCAATATTTACGTAATGCAATCAATCATTCTTCGGATGGATGCTAATTTTCATGTTCAACATTTTGTTTACTAGTTGAATATTCATGAGGGTAATCAGTAGTGAAATAACCTGGTGATAGTGTTGACGTTCAATGATTCAAATGTCAAACATCTTTTGTGTACTGAGTTAGACCATCGACCAACATATGATCATTGATTGGGCAACTATTTCACGTTTATAGCTACTTAAACAAGGAGATAAGAGAAAATCGAAGTTAAGAATTCAATTATCACAGAAATAGAAGTCATAACATAACATTCTTCAGAGTTATATTTTGCCTGCTTATCAGATACATTACATTATTCTACGTAATAATGTGTAGAAATTATCTCAATAATATTGTTTCGAATTTTAAATATATTATTCAAATTATTATTTGCAGCTGTTACAATGTAACCGTTCATTTCCAAACAATGCATCTACTGATCTTAATTCCATTCTCAAAAATTTTGTCATTTCAGAGTGAAAATTCGACAAGATTTGCGCCCGTCCGCAACAAATATATCAAATGATAATTTTCTTTTCGCTGATTTCTTTCTAATTGATTGATAAAACATAATTCTTTATCGCTTTTGTAATACTGACTGATGCACAATTTTGCCTACGCTGGCAATCGCACAATTTCTTTTACTAGATTCAACATTTTGCTTATCGTCTGAACAATCAAATATTTATTTTTGTTAATTACAACTCGTGAATTTTCAAATATCACTTGTTTATCTTTATTAGTTCATTTCTTCCATAGTTTTGAACGATTGTTTTTTATTGATTACAATACGTATCAGAATAAAATTGTGTTTTGTACCGATTCGTTTTGTTTCATGTAATCATGTACGATTGCATTGTGTTATTGCGTAAAAATGCTTAAGTCAATTTCTTGTTATATAAAGATAAACAGAAATGGACCAATTATAAAGTTACGTTTGTTGACTGTCGAAGACTCAAAATCGTTCTGTATCCACATCTAGAATCATTACATGTGTGTTTAATAGGCAAGTGCATTCTCTTATTGCAACGTTCATTAGTTCTAGCTGCGCAGTCACACATTTTCATTCAATTGACAATTGTTTTATAGTAAGCTTATCACATCTCTTGGGTTTTATATAATGTTGTGCATGATGCTCGCTTACTATATTATAATAAGAAGCTTCATGTTAGATGTTTCGTATAGCACAATTAGGCTGGCAATTTGAACGATGGTGAAAGATGGTGAACGAGAGGAATTCGATTTCGGCTGAATCTACTGGATCGATTAATTCTTGGGGTGTCAAACGATCTGTTTCGAGAGTAAGTGAGTAGCGTATTACGCTAACGAGCACACTGAACAGTAGCCTGTTAGATAAATGACTCTAGCGGAATGTAGCAACGGAACGAAATGGAAAAATTAGGGGACACAGAATACAACTATTCAGACTTATCAAGTAAAAAACTCTCGGGGATGCAGGTGGTTCCGAGACTTTGTAAAATTGAACATTAGGTGAGCATTGGACTCCATGTGATTCTGTATCACTACCTTTGACTGTGAGAGTAGCAACGGTGTGCATCAACCTAACAGGAATTTCTCTTATCGAACAACGCATGTCAAGTGAGTGTCTGTGAAGAAAGATTGTTGAAATAATCTGACATTTCAAGAGTGGAGTTCAAACACGGGATTCACTTGCTGGCTTATGAATGTGGCGACAAAAGAAATTCTCTGCCCGATATGTGAGTTATTTAGACACACAACTGACGATCATAATGGGACTAGTGAGACTGCAGAAAATAGTGATACTATACGTCCCTGACGAAGCAGCAGTTGAATATAGCTCAGATGAGGTGAAATATAAGTCCTACATAAATATTTCGGACGTCATTCGATACCTTGGGCGTCTGAAATGCTATTTCTGGCTGGTGAACATGTTGCGGTAGACTAAGCAGAAAGAGGAGTTAGTCGGATGTCGTAATTCAATGGGCGGAGAGTGGCTAACGTCCAATGCAGACATGATTATGTCAGCGACATTCAAAATAGCATCCTAATAAACATCAAACAACATGATAACAACCACAATAGTCTCTCATTATTTCACTTGCGCTATTCACAGTCAAAATATTGTTATTTTCCGACTTCATTATACACTTGTAAATGTATGTTAGTAGTAGAGTCTTACTCACAGTTGCCAATATTTACGTAATGCAATCAATCATTCTTCGGATGGATGCTAATTTTCATGTTCAACATTTTGTTTACTAGTTGAATATTCATGAGGGTAATCAGTAGTGAAATAACATGGTAATAATGTTGACGTTCAATGATTCAAATGTCAAACATCTTTTGTGTACTGAGTTAGACCATCGACCAACATATGGTCATTGATTGGGCAACTATTTCACGTTTATGGCTACTTAAACAAGTAGATAAGAGAAAATCGAAGTTAAGAGTTCAATTATCACAGAAATAAAAGTCAGGCCATGTAAGTGGAATGTATCGACAGCATCTGATTACGTCAAACTATAACAATAAATTTACTGCATCCAGAGACATAACATTCTACAGAGTTATATTTTGCCTGCTTATCAGATACATTACATTATTCTACGTAATAATGTGTAGAAATTATCTCAATAATATTGTTTCGAATTTTAAATATATTATTCAAATTATTATTTGCAGCTGTTACAATGTAACCGTTCATTTCCAAACAATGCATCTACTGATCTTAATTCCATTCTCAAAAATTTTGTCATTTCAGAGTGAAAATTCGACAAGATTTGCGCCCGTCCGCAACAAATATATCAAATGATAATTTTCTTTTCGCTGATTTCTTTCTAATTGATTGATAAAACATAATTCTTTATCGCTTTTGTAATACTGACTGATGCACAATTTTGCCTACGCTGGCAATCGCACAATTTCTTTTACTAGATTCAACATTTTGCTTATCGTCTGAACAATCAAATATTTATTTTTGTTAATTACAACTCGTGAATTTTCAAATATCACTTGTTTATCTTTATTAGTTCATTTCTTCCATAGTTTTGAACGATTGTTTTTTATTGATTATAATACGTATCAGAATAAAATTGTGTTTTGTACCGATTCGTTTTGTTTCATGTAATCATGTACGATTGCATCGTGTTATTGCGTAAAAATGCTTAAGTCAATTTCTTGTTATATAAAGATAAATAGAAATGGACCAATTATAAAGTTACGTTTGTTGACTGTCGAAGACTCAAAATCGTTCTGTATCCACATCTAGAATCATTACATGTGTGTTTAATAGGCAAGTGCATTCTCTTATTGCAACGTTCATTAGTTCTAGCTGCGCAGTCACACATTTTCATTCAATTGACAATTGTTTTATAGTAAGCTTATCACATCTCTTGGGTTTTATATAATGTTGTGCATGATGCTCGCTTACTATATTATAATAAGAAGCTTCATGTTAGATGTTTCGTATAGCACAATTAGGCTGGCAATTTGAACGATGGTGAAAGATGGTGAACGAGAG